CCCCAAAACCCCAAAACCCCAAAACCCCAAAACCCCAAAACCCCAAAACCCCGAATTTTAAGTAGAAATTGACAATTTTTTTAGTTGAATTTTATATCAAACTTAGGGAAATTAGAGCACGAGTAAAAGAAAACCAACAAATTCCTCCATTCCTGAGATCATGTAGAGTTAGATATTATTTATTTACCGTTATCACCGAGTTTAGAGCATTCATCCTCCAGCATCTTGGAGCAAGGGGTGACGTGCACCTTGACCAAGAGTTTATTGATCTTTGCCTTCTTGCAGTTGATGAAGTACCATTCATCGTCATCTTTGAGGATTGACTTAAATTCTTCACCACAGATGAAACACTGGCCTTCACTTGTGGAGAAAGGAATACAGTTCTCCAGTTCTTGTTGTTCCCGAGTCATCTCTTCCTTGTTCTTGTTGATGATATCGATGCTCGAGTCAGTCACCCAATTTTGGTATGTTGAAAACGCCTTTCTTGAGTGGGGTCCGGATCTTCTCTCTGTCGCTGATACATTCTGCTGGAAGTGATAATCTAGGTGATCCTTTAATGCAGAATGATGCATGAATCTCATACCACAAATAGTACACATGTATGTACTAGGACTGTAGAGCTGATTTACTGCCTTCGAAATTCTCTCTTCTCTATGTCCTCCCATCACCATCTGATTCAGTGATGGATTGTAAAACTCAAATGCTTTCATGACATAAGGGAAAAATCCTGGAGGATTTTGGTATGCAAATTGTTTCTTGGGTTGCTTCATCGGAAATCTTCCTCCTGGAGGAATTGCTGCCATTCTCTTCATCCCTAAACCAAGCCATAAGACACCAGCCAGACAAAATATGCTTACCGCGTTCCCTCTTTATATACCCGGGGTCGAGACGAGGGTTATTTCTACTAAAATATCGAGTTAGGGCTGAAAATCTGTCTAAAGATCTAAACATTCTTAAACTAAAATAGAAGTCCTTTCTTGATCAGGATGTAAATGAACTCATTGAGGAATCAAATCCTCAAAAAGACAGACACTTTTATTTTAAGTGATTATTGTACAAAGTTAGAAGTAGGTGTGGACATAGAGTACTATAATAGAGTGGATCATTTCCTCCGCCTTTCATTCCTTCAATACTTACGACATAGGAGGGGGAAGAGGATTTGCCTGCCGAACAGCTGGCCTAGCTTTATTTTCTTCTCTCGTCTTGCTTGAGATAAAGCCCTGGATCTTCTTGTGGTCTTCAGGGGTTAGCAGTTCGCGCTCAAATCTTGAAAGTTCCAGTTCGTTATAGATTGTGTTGAGTATTTCATGGGGGTAATAGATATACCAAGTCTTGAAGAGAGTCAGAAGCTTCTTCTTCACACTATTAGGTGACTGCTTGAAAGTGACTGGATAAACAGATTTAATATGCTGAGCAAACATTTCAATATATTTTCCTCCAACCGCTTTGGTGATGGAATCTAACAAGTAAAATTTTGGAAGCTTCGTATTAGGAATACTCTAAAATACATAAATCAGCTGGGACTTACCTCTTTTATAGATTTAATGATGATCTCAACCAAGAAAACAGCCTCATCCTTGAGCTGTTCTGCCAAATCAGTGAGTTTCTTGATACTTCGGCCGTTCACCGTTGCCAAATTATAGACTTCCTCTTTAAACTCATCAATTGACATTGTATTTAATATTATTTATTCAATATTCTTCCCAAATAAGGGGTTTTGGGGTTTTGGGGTTTTGGGGTTTTGGGG